GAAAAAGAAATCATTTTAGTTGGCTTTTGTATGAGGGAAAATGACTTAAAAACCCAATTAAATTTCCAAACCGTTCAAAAAACTCAAATTATCTTTTGTTTGTTCAAAAAAATCCAACAAACTTAACATTTTGTCTAAAAAACCAACTAAGTTACACTTTCCTGAAAGTCAAATAAGAGAAACATATGACGTGACTTATTACCGTATCGGAAAAATGACTTGTTAGACCAACGAAGTTTCCAAAACGTTTAAAAAACTCCAATCATGTTTTGACTGTTCAAAAGAAACCCAACGAACTTAAGCAAAATAAAATTGAGATTTTCTGAACGGTTTGGAACTTTGTTGGACTTTTTAGATAAAATGTTAAGTTCATTGGGTTTTTTTGAACATACAAAACTTGATTGGGGTTTTTTGAATAGTTTGGAAATTTCATTGGGCTTTTAAGTCTTTTTCCCTTTGTATGAAGTTCACTTTTTTAGTTTTAAATTTACCAAATTCTTTTAATATAATTAAAAACGCGTTTTATTTTTTTAATTCACATATAGTAAAATTACAATAAAGATATATTAAATAATCTATGATTTTAGCTGTTGATTTTTATCTTAATTTTTAGTATTATTTATTTAATTGAAATTATGATTGTATTTGACTTGTTTTTTTGCATGATTTTGCATATACTTTGATATGATATTAATTGCATTATTTTTTGCATGTGAACTGAAGAAAAGAAGAAGAATGTGTGATCGGAATAAAAGTATCTTCCTACTACAATTTATTTTCTACCAGGTAAGAACTACTTGCTATGATGTTTAATTAGATATTTGTATGCTATTAATTCTCAAGTAATAAGCTTTGTTTCACCTTTATGTTACATTTGATATAACTTGAAGTGTGTATGTATACTATTTTCTTTTTATTTCTTTCATATGAAGTAACAAACTTCTTCTATATACATTTGTGATAGTATGTAACTATGTATTTGTGTCTTTAACTATCTGTACATGTGTATATTTTGTGTATTTGTGTTAGTGTGTGTTGTGACAATTATGATTTTTTTTTTCACTTTTTCTTCTATGTCTCTTTTCATAATTCTAAAATATCACATTATTTGTTAAATTAAGAACAAGGATCATTACTGTTGACCGGAGTATTGATTATATATGTATGTCATTATAAAACAAAAATAGTTAAAAATTGTTCTAATGTTACAATTTTTTGAAAAAAACAAATAATTTTGCAAATTAGCTGTCAACATTTACCATTTCTGTTGCAGCTAAACTGTATGAAATTTGGTAAACCATATAAAGAACTTCACCAATTTTATGTGTATTTTGTTTGAAATCGATTACAATGGTCAACTGTTTCCCCAAAACATTCAAATTATGTATTACTTTTTTGGACTATTGCTGTTTTACTGCTTCTTTCTGTTTGTTTGCTGCTTCTTTATGTTTGTTTGAAGAAATTTGGTTTGTAAAGATTAGCATCATTTCTTATAATTAACCATTTATGTAAAGTCATTAAAACACAAACCGTTCATATAAAATTAACCATTTTTTTATGTGAGATTTAACAAACATTATTCAAGGCTTTAGTGGAACCTAGACAATCTTCACTTTTTCCTAAAGCAATTGATGTAAGAGTAAATTATTTATTCACTTTTAGTTAAAAAAATTATTTTCTTTAAATCATTTTAAAATTTGAACAGGACTACATGGGCTAAGCTAAGAGACAACTCAACTACTGGTATAGTGTTATTTTTTGTATGTCGTGGATAGGTAATTTATAATTTTATATAGTATTTGACTATTTTCTCCTTATAACATTTATTAAAAAGTTTAAAATTTTATTTAAATAGGTAAGTGAAGAATTAGATTTTGCTGATCAAGCTGGAAGAGCTGTAATTGTGACTGGAATTCCATTTACAATGAGGAATGATCCAAAAATCCGTCTAACAAAAAGGATCCAAGGTAATTAATTTTGGTCAACAAAGTCAAACTCACTTAAATTTATATATATATTTTTTTATTTTATAGGATTATAAGTAGATTGCCTTTTTTAAGTTCTCACAGGACAAGAGTGGTATAGTCAGCAATCATCACAGGTTGTCAACCAACCGAATGTTTGTACTTACACGGTTTTGGTGTAGTTTATATATTGGAGATATTATAAATGAACAAAACTACATGATTACAAATTGTTTTTATTTATATATAGTAAAATCAACTATAAACTATTAAATGAAATTCCAAATGTATACTCAACCTCTGTTGTATTGTATGACTATGCATCTAGCAAGAAACCATCCGTTGAAATGACCTATTCGACACAAAATTGTCTACCAAAAGGTCACAATGAATAACTCTTGTCTAAAGGAAACTAATCATCACATTACTATCTTCCGAAAGAAACTCTTTGCCGCCCGACGCTTAGCGCGGGTAAACGGCTAGTATATATATATATATATATATATATATATATATATATATATATATATATATATATATATATATATATATATATATATATATATATATATAGGGTTAGGTTATTTTGTTTTTAGTAACTATTGTATGCCAGAATGCACAGATCTGGACCATTGGATGGAATATAATCAAAAACCATGATCTGAGAGTCTATGTTAGTAGAATAGGATAACATGTAAGATATAATCGCACAAATTTGAGCATAAGGGCATTCTAGTCAATTAACCTATATTAAAATAGGAAAATTTTGGATTTTTAGGGATAATTAATTCCTTTATTTTTAAAAATCTAAATATTTTAAATTAATTTAAAATTAAAAATCTGATTTTTATTCTGTCAAAATGATAGAATTTGAACCATAAAGTAGTAAACATATTTTTTGATTTTATTCTGTCAGAATGACAGAATGTCAAGCATAAAGTAGTAAATATATTTTGAAAGAATACACAAAATCGATTTTTGAACTAATAATATATCAAATAATTACATTGTATGATTGTGATTCATTGAATTATAACAAACATTCTGAAAGAATAACAAGTATAATTCTTAAAAAACAACAACATTCTAGATGTCTTGTATACGTTTGACCTCTAAGTCAATTCAAAATATGCTAGCATTCTATGAGATTGATATTTTGTGATATTGACATTCTGTCAGAATTGTATTGCATGAGAATGATTTTATACAATGAGCCTTTCCTATCAGGTCTTCAAGCCATATTCAAACCATTTCTATCACAAATTCATTGCCAAATACTTTGTAGTGATACACTTGTAACAACTGCACACTAAACATATAATTAATTAAGTACAAATTCTATCAGAATAAAACAATAATATTCTTATATAATAAACTATTCTTTCAGAATGGAAATATTATAAAAAGGTAATAGTGTATCTTTCATCATCTGTAGCAATTGAAGCTTGATTAGAATATATAGAATATTCAACACAAAACATAAAACATAAGTAAAAGTAGTTAAAATAACTAGTATACAACATACATTAGAATAAGTAGAATAATTTGAAGTGAACATTTTATCAAACCACCATGCATAGAATAAATAAACTTAAACCCTAATGTTTAAAATATTTAAGGTATACATAACTTACAGTATCTAGAATAAATTAAAAGAAATTATTATCACATAAGAATATGTAGAATGTTTAAGGAAGAATGATGCAATGTTGGCATTATGCCGAACACCTGGTGGGTGGAAGTTACACTTTCACATTACACATAGCAAATTAACATGTCAAGATCAACATCAGATTCAACAACAAGGTAAGCATCATGTGCAATTTCAGATAGCAATTAGATTCAAGGTGCAAAATCAAAAATCAATTTCAAAACCAATCAATCGATATATACTCAATCAGAATCATAAATCAAATTTGACTCAAAGTGAATAAGTCTCGATTCTTCAAAGATGAAACTTCCAACGAATCAGAAATTAAGGTAGAAGAAATCGATTAAGTTGAATAAGAAATAGAGGAAATATAACTAACCTTTTGGTGTCTTAGGAAATAGAATTTGTTTGAATTCGTTACTACTGGTGCTGGTATTTTGATTATCATTCACTCCCCAAGTCTTGTAACATTTGTTGGTTGTAGCAGGGTTATGGTCGATATGTTCATCAAAACTCAACTGATGCCGCCAAATGTAAATGGAAGGGGGAGGATACGATTTTGGTGAAAGACATTTTTATGAGAAGCCAGGGTTTAATAGTTGGTCAAAGAGAATTTTATGGTAATATCCATGAATTAAAGGATTTTATTTTAATTATCATGCTAAAGTTACATAATTACCCTTATTACAATTTTTTATTATTTAATTATTCCTGAATTCCTATTAGTGCATTCATACACACAATAGTTACTAGAAACATTTAAATATATATATATATATATATATATATATATATATATATATATATAATAATAATAATAATCCAAAAGATTTATTAAACAGATTAATTGTCATCATGAGGTGCATGTGTTAAAGCCTACAAACCATAACAATAAAACATCACACAAAAATAAATTATGAAACTCTTTAATTTGTGTGGCATTCCATGGAAATGTAAATTTCATATAGATGATGACAACGACAACGAAAGCGAAAATAATAATGATAATAATAATAATAATAATAATAATAATAATAATAATAATAATAATAATAATAATCCCCGAGATTTATTGAAATTGTCATCATCATGAGGTGCATGTGTTAAAGCCTACAAACCATAGCAACAAAACATCACACAAAAATAAATTATGAAACTCTTTAATTTGTGTGACATTTTATTGAGAAGTAAAATTCACTCGCCACCAACAAACAAATAACCAAATCATAATATGGATCAGGTATCGATTATATAAAAAATATCCGAACTATCCTAAACCTGAATATTTTATCCGATTAACATCCCTAAGAATAAGATTACCTTATCATCCATTATTGATTGCTTTATTGTTCAGTTATGTCCTGTATAAATATTATGCATGAAAATTACTTCACACAATAAAAAATTCAATCAATTCATGAAGTCAAACATTCATTCAAACACATCATTTTTCATAGGTAGATGCATATACCAAACTCTATACACATAAACACATGAAACATTACAAAATGAAGGGTTCAAACTTAAGCAATCCTAAAGTTTGTTTCCTTCATTTATTTTGCTTGTCAAGTGTCATGAACAAACTCCGAGGACTTCTTCCTCAAGTGCGGTATATTGGAATGGCTAATAAGGGCATAATAGGAGGAATAGTTAAACCAAAATTTTCATTCATATCCAGATCACTTGGTGACATTCCATTTGGTAGTTTCCATTCAAAGCAATGTACCATGTTAGCAATCACTAAACCAACAGTCAATAACCCCAAATTCATTCCAGGACATCCTCTTCTTCCTATGCCAAATTGTATAAGTTGACAATCAGCCCCACGAAAATCAATATCTTTGTCAAGAAACCTCTCTGGAAGAAATTCATCCCAATTTTCAGACCAAACTTTTGGGTCACGTCCAAATGCCCAATAATTTATAATAACACGACTCTTCTTCGGTATATTGTAACCATTAATTATGATATCCTCCATAGATTCATGCGGAATCAATAATGGAGAGACGGGATAAAGCCGAAAAGTCTCTTTAACTACCATATGCAAGTAAGTTAGCTTTGTCAAATCTGTTTCTTCAACCTCTTTTTTATCTCCAATCACAGTCTTCAGTTCTTTTTGAAGCTCGTTCATCACTCTTGGGTGTTTGATAAGTGCAGCTAATATCCATTCAATTGAAGTTTTTACAGTGTCACGAGCCCCAGCTACCATTTCAAGTAAAATGGCCTTCATGCTAGACCTATCAATCGTATATGATAGCTCATCATGGGTATTTGAATATTGTTCCTTTAGTGACATCAATATGTCAATGAAATCCATTTCATCTGACCTTTGAGAAGCGATAAGACTGTTTTCTTCATGCTCATTTATCAATGTCTCAAGCATTTCATCAATGTCTTTTTTTAACGACTTAAATCGTTTAGTTAACCCCTGCAAATTCAGAACATGAAAAATGGATTAGGATCTTTGATATATATATATATATATATATATATATATATATATATATATATATATATATATATATATATATATAACTCAAAGCAACTATGAAAGTCCAATCATGTTTAGAATGTACTATGAAATTCACGATTTTGATGTATTAGCTTCTTAAAATGTTGTTATCCTATAAAGAAACATACGGTTACTGTTGAAATATATATTCTCTTATTCAAACTTAACATTAATTAAGAAAAGGTAAGGTTTGTATTTTTACTATTCTATAGGGTGTATTGTGAAATATAATGTGCAGGTGTGATCTTCGGGTTTACATGCGGACCCTATTCGGGTGTGGGTGCTCCATGGAGCTGCTTGCTCCGAGAGTATTTAAAGTGTTAATCACGTTCAGTTGCTAAGTCTTTCTAGATATTTTTTTTAGTGTTCTCTCTTTCTCTCTAGATTAGGGTTTCTGTAAGTGTTTCGTTAAAGAGCTTTAGATCCATAATAACTTGTTATCAGGTTTCTTGTTTGAATGTAAGAGAGTTAATGTAGTGAGTTTTCTTTTGTATTTGTTTGATGTAATTTCATAGTGAATGGAATCTTGATGTTGGGAAATTGTTGAGTTTATCTTTTCGTACATGGTATTAGAGCTTAAGGCTCCTTCATTCATTTCATGGGTGTCTTTCAAAGGATTACGACTCAGAACAACATCTTAAAAGGTTTACATTAGTATTTTACTATCGTTTAACCTATAACTCGGACATATTGTCTAAGAATATTACCATATTCTAAACACATGTTTTTTGTGTATTAAATAAAAATATCTCTATGAACTTTTGGCAATATTGAGGTCATCAAGATTATGAAATTACGAACCTGAAGATCAAACGGAGCTAATATTGGCACATAGTCTGCCAAATTGAAGGCACCTGCTATTTCCATGGTCTCATCAAGTACGCCCTTAAAAATAGACTTATCATTATTTTTCTGACCAAAAATCATCCTACACGTCATGCCTTCAACCAACACACCTACAGCCTCGTCCAAATCCACCACCTTACGCTCCATTGATGCAACCTTCATCTCCTCCACCATCAACCTAATCTCATCCCTTCTCATCCCTGCAAAAGAATGAACTTTCATAACATTAAGCAGTTCCAACGTACAAAACTTTCTCACACTACGCCAATATGGTCCATATTCCGTAAGTGTCATTCCTTTGCTTCCATAAGATAGGTACTTAGCAGCTTCTGTATTCGGACGAGATGCAAAAATGGCGTCATGGGTTCCGAGGAAGAGTTTGGCAGCTTCCGGTGAAGAGATTATCACCGATTGGATGGACCCAAGGCGGATGGACATGATCGGCCCATACTTTTGGGAGAGCTTGTGGAGGTCGCGATGTGGGAGGTTTCCTAATAAGTGGAGGCTTCCGATGATTGGTAAAGGTATGGGGCCTGGTGGTAGTTTTCTACGGCGGACATGAGTTGACCACCATTGCCAAAAGATGATTCCGGTGAGAACTAGGAGTATTGCAAGTGCAAAATAATGCATGTTTAAGCTTCTATACAGATTAGCGTTGTGATATAGATGTATAAATAGACAGCTTGGGTTGACGTATAAATCTTTTTTTGGCATCTTATTGTTTGTAATTTTGCATCCGGTGTTTATGCTGCTCCCTTTGACTAAACACAGTTACCGGATTTGCTGAATTTATTTTATTAACTTGTTTAAATAAGAAAGTTGTCTTTGAATAACATCTTATCTTCCGACTTATGGGAATCTCCACGTTCTTGCAAATCAACTTCCAAAGCGATTATTTCACTAACCCATGCATGGTCAATGACTTGTGGTCCTTGTTCTTTTCAATCACTTTTTATAATGCTATTACACTACTATATTATTGTATTATAATTATAATACTAATATTCTTTTTATATATAAGGAATTGATTTTTATTTATTTGTTATTTTATAAATGAATTTATTTATATGATTATATACAACAATGGTTTTCTTTTTGTTCAAAAAAGAAATCTAAGTTAAGATTATTCTCATTGAGTTTATTTTATAATTTATTATTATATTTTTATTGTTCACATATTATCATAAAACATATAGTTTATTATTATTTTTATTATTGATCATTCAATATAATGGTTAATATATTTTTAACATTATCTGTGTAAAATTATTATTTTATTAAGTTTGACATCTAATTAAATATTTCTCTAATGATAAACTTTTTTTCAATAGCATTTTTATAAACTTATATGTTGATCCTATCTATCTAAAATATTCCATAAAACCTCCTAATTCAGTTATTCATTTATTAAACACATCAGTTCTAATACAAAATATTTTAAATTAATATTATCATTAGAGATTAATATATAGTCTCATAAATATAAACTATGATAAAAACAAATAATTGATTAAAGAAATATAAAATATTTAGAGTTATAATATAATTAAACGAGCAAGGGTAGGTTCTAGTTTATGAACTTTTTGGTTTCTTCTTAGCGTTTTGCTGATTAAAACCTTCTTGGCATCTTCAATCGTAAGCATGTATATCTGTAAATAGTATCACTTGTCCACCTATACTCCCTTCTAAGTTTTACCTACCATAGATACGAGCAGGTTTATTCAAGATATTCTATTAGCTTGTGTATGCAAGAAAAGCTGGCATCATATATCACCAGCGCTTGCAAAGTCAATGATCACCTTGGTTGTTATATATATATATATATATATATATATATATATATATATATATATATATATATATATATATATATATATATATATATATATAGGTTTTTCTTGCGATAATGGGACATCCAAAATTGAATTCTATAAAATTAGAATTTGGATCAACTTCAATGTTTTATACCAAATAATCATCATTATATCATTATGCATGCCACTTAATGGTGGTCCAAAGAGAACATTGATTTTTTCTGTTATTTTCTATTACACGGTTACATTGTTGCATTATTGCATGTTTGTAATATTATTATATTGTTATCTTTTTCACATTTATTTATTAGTTCGGTTGATTTCTGTAATTTGTAGATATATTCATTTTGTAGACTACAACAAAAGTCTACCGGCTACAAAAATTACCAACACAAAAATTGTTGAATATTGATCCAAATTTGCATCAACGGTTACATGGAATTAGTCAGCTAAGTGACCTGGTAATCAGGAAGTATTAGGGAGTCTTTTGGGATAAAGATGCTACTGCAATTAGTGGGATAGTGCTCCTTAGTTTTATCTTTTACTGTTATGTTTTTAGTTTAAATAAGTCTTTTGTTTTCCCTGTTATGTACGTGTCTTTTGAGATCAATAAAAGCAGTAGTTTCCCAACTCTTTCTCTCTTAACTCCAACATTGTGGTATCAGAGCAACAGGCGGTTCTGTGATGGCAAACTCGGGAAACAGTATGAGTTCGGCACAACCATTGATTCCAGTATTCAAGGGAGATGGATACCAGTATTGGAACATATGACTCAAGACACTACTCAAATCACAAGACTTGTGGGAGTTTGTAGAAAATGGGTGTCCCACCGAAGATGATGAAGCACTGATGAAAGAAAACAAGAGAAAGCATGCCAAGGCACTAGCCATTATCCAGCAAGAAGTTCATGATACGATGTTCTCAAGAATCGCAGCAGCAAGCACCGCACAAGAGGCATGGGAGGTGTTACGTGAAGAATTTCATGGCGACTCAAAGGTTGTTGTTGTAAGGCGCCAGTCTCTCAGGAGAGAATTTGAAAACCTAGCAATGAAAGATGACGAAGCTGTTGCTGATTTGATGTCAAGAAGTATGGACACTGTGAGTCAACTGAGAGCATATGGTGAAGAGATAAGTGATCAAACCATTGTCGAGAAGGTGTTGCGGAGTCTACCACAGAATTTTGATCATGTATTAGCATCAATAGAAGAATCAAAGGATCTCTCAATTCTCTCCGTTAATCAATTGATGGGGTCCTTGCAGTCCCATGAGGCAAGAATTAAACGTTCACCAACAAAAATAAAAGAAAAGGCTTTGCAGGTACAGGATACATCATCATATGGTGGATGTGGATCAAGAAATTTCCAAGCACAAGACACAACATCATTTGGTGGTCGTGGATCAGGAAGCTTTCGAGGCAGGTCTCGTGCTCGAGGAGGCTTCGGTAGAGGCCGAGGAAGAAATAGTGTGCACTGCAAACATTGCAATCGTTTTGATCACGTGAAAGATGACTGTTGGTTCAAGGATCAACATGTTAGTTATGTTGCTGAAGAGAACTTGGGTGAAACTGAGGAAGACGAGAAGCTGTTCATGGTGCGTATGGCGGAGGATGATCATAAAGAACGGACACACATGGCTCTCATGATGTGTGCTGGAGATGTGAATAAAGCAAACAACATTTGGTTCATTGACAGTGGATGTTTGAATCATATGACCGGGCAAAGAGATGTCTTCTCTACACTTGACAACACGCAGAAGATGGTAGTTCAAGTTGGTGATGGAAAAAAATTATATGGAGAAGGATAGGGCACTGTGAAAATTCAATTGACAACTGGGAAGACACGTCTTGTGCATGAAGTTTTCTATATACCTTCTTTAGGGTATAGTCTTCTAAGTGTTGGTCAACTAATATCAACCGGGCATTCCGTTCTTTTCCAAGATGAAATGTGTGTTATTAGCAAAAATCTTCAGGAGATTGTTAAGGTTCCAATGACAAAGAACAGAATGTTTTCTTTAGATATTTCAGCAATTGGAAACTTTGATCTGGTTGCAAAAGAAAAGAGTAAATCATGGTTGTGGCATCTTCGATATGGGCATCTAAATCAGCAAGGTCTGAAGCTCCTTCATACAAATAACATGGTTCATGGGCTACCAGAAATAACACAAATGGATCTATGTGAAGGCTGTGTTTATGGTAAGCAACATCAAAAATCGTTCCCAACAGGTGGTGCTTGGAGAGCCTCTAATTTACTTGACTTGGTTCATGCAGACGTCTGTGGACCCATGCCGACAACATCATTTGGAGGTAGTAAGTACTTTCTACTACTAACAGATGATTATACACGAATGTCATGGGTGTTTTTTCTGAAGAGTAAAGGAAAAGTATTTGCTAATTTTAAAACATTCAAGGCTAAAGTAGAGAATCAAAGTGGGTTCCATATAAAGACTCTTAGAACCGACAATGGAGGTGAATTTGTTCTTGAAGAATTCAATCGATTTTGTGATGAACATGGTATACATAGAGAACTCACTACACCGTACACCCCGGAGCAAAACGGCGTATCGGAACGAAGGAATAGGACAGTGGTTGAAATAGCCCTTAGTATGCTGAAAGAAAAAGGTTTACCCGATGAGTTCTGGGTAGAGGCGATTGCTAAAGCGGTGTATCTACGGAACATATCACCAACAAAAGCAGTATTGAATCATTTGAAGCATGGAGCGGTATTAAGCCTTCGGTAAGCCATTTACGTGTTTTTGGATCTGTTGCATATTCCCTGATTCCATCTCAGTCAAGAAAAAAATTGGATGCAAAGTCTATTAAGTGCATATTTGTTGGGTACTCTACCCATGCTAAAGGCTATCAGTTGTATAACCCACAAAATGGAAGAATCATGACTATAAGGGATGTATTGTTTGATGAGAATGAACAATGGAAATGGACCAAAGAAGAAACAGAAAAAGATAATGTGTCGCCTCTCAGTCTTGAACCAGAAGATGGTCTGGTACCCAATAAGTTGTCAAGCTCTTTGGAAAACAACAACACGCCACCATCCTCTCCACCGGAACGCCATGCATCAAATACTACTTCCTCAAGCTCCAGTTCACCTTCAGAGGGACAATCGCCGGAAAGCACTCCACCTACGAAATTCAGGTCCCTGGCCGATATTTATGCATCCTGCCAATTTGCTCTCTTTTGTGCAGATCCCGAAACTTATAAAGAGGCATCAACTAAAGAAGAATGGAAGAAAGCAATGGCTAAGGAAATGGAATCTATAACAAAAAATCAAACATGACAACTTGTGGAATTACCAGAAGGAAAGCATGCATTAGGACTGAAATGGGTGTTCAAGATAAAGTATGGAGCTGATGGAAAAGTTGATAAGTACAAGGCAAGAATCGTCACTAAAGGCTATGCACAAGAATTTGGTGTTGATTTTGAAGAAACCTTCGCACCGGTGGCTCGTTTTGAAACAGTGCGAATGCTTCAATCTTTGGCAGCTCAACAACAATGGGTTGTCTATCCATTTGATGTGAAATCGGCTTTTCTTAATGGTGAGCTAATGGAGGAAGTATATGTCGAGCAACCGGAAGGATTTATTGTGGTTGGAAATGAAAACAAGGTGTACCGTTTAAAGAAAGCTCTTTATGGCCTAAAGCAGGCACCCCGGGCCTGGTATAGCAAGATTGATGATTATTTTAAAGGAAATGTGTTCAGTCGAAGTGAAAATGAGCCAACTCTCTATATAAAGAAATCTGGTATATGTGATATCATTATTGTTTGCATGTATGTAGATGACATTATCTACATGAGTTCCTCCA